TTTTAAGGTTTAGCGATTCCTAACTGGGTTGTGGGGTCTCCCCCCCTTTTCGTCGGTGCGGACTTACTTTTTTCCGCTCGGGAAGCGCAAGTGTGCGCGAGTTTTTCTACGGCGCTTTTCTTTCGTCGGTGAGTTGGTTTTTCTTCTATTTTTAAGTTACTAAGGTGAATGGTGAGGAAACCTTCGTCTTAACTAAACATAAGCCCCAAACAAAAATATAATGAAAGCAAAATAAAAGTAAAATAAAAATAAAGCTCAGACTTGGTTCCTTACAAGATGAAAATTTTATTTCAACATATAGTAAGACTTACAATGCTGAACAGAACTGCAATTTTTCAGTTTACAATAAGCCTTATATTTCATCAATAGATGATGTACAGTACTTAGTATTAGAGGATGTTGTTTATTAGAATAAATATCATACATACTTTTTTTAATTATATAGCATAGAAGAAAAAAGTTATAGAACAAGTTATACATTATATAAATGTGGCAGTATTTTACTTTTTTTTTTTTTTTTTTTTTTTTTAATAATTTTGATATTGGCATAAGCTAGAACTAGACAATAACTAGATACACACAAAATATCTTATGTAGTTTTCCAGCAAATTGTTCTTTAACCAAACTAATGTTTTCAACTTTATTAATAAGCCTTTGTCGGGTTTTCTGAAAAGAGATTCAATTTGGAACAATATTTAAAATTCCATTTTAACAATGAAATTTTAAATATTGTCTCTGTATATATAAAACATGTATAAATCTATTGCTAATGCCTTCTGATGATAACTGGATATTCCTCTCTCAAGAATGTTATAAAATTATAAAAGTTATATTTCGTTGGTACACAAGAATAGTGACACAACTCAAAAATTTCCAATTTCGAGTTTATTGTAGAAATGTATAGCAAACTCCCCCATACATATGTGGAAGAACGAACACTAATATTTATTTCCAAAAAAGATTTGAAAATTTTAAAAATCCAAGATCATGACAAAGCCTTGCAGGAAACAAGAAACTTTTAAATGGCTTTTCTGGAAGATCTATTTTTTTGAGTTGTGTCACTATTCTTATACACCAACGATTTGTTTTATGTAACTAAACAATATGATATATTGTATAAAATGAAGCATTTTTCAATAGGAATTAATGAGATTGTAGTTTCCATTTAATTTTTATGTTTTCAAAGAATTTATATAATAAATTATCTTTACAATTTTTAATACATTTATCACAAACAATTATAATTATCTTAAATTTTGATGTGATCATGTTTTGTTGAATGTGTATCTTAAGATAGTTAGATATATAGCATTATTGGCTTATTTCTACCCATTTTTTAAATTTTAAATGGTTAATAAGAGTTATATTTAATAATATTTTATTCAGTTTTATAACAGGATTAATGGTTCTTTTAATTACAAAAATTATTAGATGATATATAAATATAATTTTATTTCATTTATTCTGAAAAATAATTCAAAATAACTTAAATATGATTATTTTTCTTTTCGTTCATGTAAAGCAACCATTAAAGAATCAACTATTGTGTAGAAATCATCATCATTTTTTCTATGTTCCTCAAGAAATCTTGCCTCCATTCTCTCTTGTAGGATTTGACCATAAGTTTTTAAGTCACCTTTCTTCAATTTATTCTCTTCTAATTCTTTTCTGTTATGAAATTCCCAACTTCTATTATCTTGACTACTTTTCTTCAGTGTATTTGTTTTTGAAAATTTGGATTCTTTCGTAGGAATCTCTGTTTCAGTTTGTAAAGGTTGTTTATCTTCTTCATTTTCATCAAATAAATCTAAAGTGACTTGAGCATTCTGTAGGTCTTTACTTTTTTTACTAATGTTAAACTTTGATTCTATAGATAACTGTTGGCTTCCAGAATATTGAATTGACAAATTTTCCAATTTCTTATTTGAATCACAAATTGACCTATTTGGTTTTTGAAGAATGAGATAAGCTGGATTAAGTTTGCTTGATTTATGACCAATTTTTTTAGTAATTTTATGATTCTTATTAGATATCTGTAATAGTCTGTATTGCATTGATTTTTCAATGCAAGATTGATCAGATTTATGTTTTTTTATCTGAGGTAATTTATAATCATTTGTAATTTCACATTTCAATGGTGTTTCATTCACTATAAACTTTTCTTCAATTTTTGTTTCTGTTCTGTCAGGTTCAACATTGGCTACATTACAAGATTCTATTGGAGCATTATCGATTTTAATCAAAATATGCTCAGATTTTGAAGGAAGTACTATTAGTGTAGGTAATTGATCATCAATATTTGAAAAATTTTCAATTGGCTCCTCTTTAATTATTTGTTGCTGAGGGAAGTGCTCTATTGAAGGTACAAAAACAATTGGCCTGTTTTTACTTCCTTTTGGATCTTCAAGAACTATCTTCTTAGAAGCATATTCAGAATCCTTTGGCACCAAGATAAACATTGGTTTTTTGTAAACAGAAGGTGGCAAAGATGAGCCTAGATCTTGTATCAAATTACTCCACTTTTTATCAATGATTCCTTCATATGTCTGTTGTTCCTGCAATTCAAATGGAGAGGGCAAAACTATTACTGTTAGTGATTTTTCTTTGAGTTTGGCAGGTTTTGAAGTATCAGTTGCAGCAACAGCAACAATAGTTGGTCTTGTTTTTGATTCTTTTGCATCAAGTTGACTTTTTATAGGTATCAATATTGGATTTTTATTTAAGCCAGATATTGATGATTTTTGGAGAATTTCATTTTCTCCGTTGTCATCAAATTTTGATGGTAATATGGTTATTGGAGACTTTCTTTTTGATGGCGATATAATATCAGATTTGTCAGGTGATATTATAATTATTTTAGCATTTCTTTCTGATGTGGATTGAACAATATCTTTGATTGATTGTACAGGATGCACTGTTTCGTTAAGTGGTATTTGAAAGACATCTATTTTAGTAAATTTCTGATCTCCATTTATTTCTCCTTGCTTTAATTTTAAATTTAAACTGGAAAGCTTTTTCTGTTTGATTCCAAAATTAGATGGTATTGTTTCTTTGTTGATTGTTAAAATATTACCATCAATTGTATAAGACTGCGGTGGATCTATAGGAGATACTTCAATTTCTTGGAAGTACTCTGTAAGTTTTTCATGTGTTGCTTTTTTCTTATTAACATCAAATTCATATTTATCATTTCTTCCACTTGCAGGTATTTTTTCTATCTGAGAATTTTTATAAATATTTGTTGCATTCTTATCAAAATCTTCTCTTATAATTCCCTTTTTTCTAGTATCAGATTCAGTGGAATAACTTTTTTCACTTTGTGACATTTTCTCTCTCTGAGGTTTCCTATTTTCTTTTGTGAATTGCTTATCAATATCTTTCTGATGTTCTTTATCTTCTCTTGATTCTCTAATACTACCCTTTTTGAATAATTTTTTATTGGGATCATTTTTCAAGTAATAATGTTCATCAAATGATTCATCCAATTTAGTGTTAACATTTTGGTTCTTTTTTTTCTTAATTTTTTCTTCACTTTTCTGAAATTTTTAATAAAATGATGATTTAAGTTGTTCATTGACATAATCCTTATAATTCATTATAATAAATATTTATGTAATAAAAATTATATATGCGTATACATTTTATAAATACAATTAAATAAAAATATTATGAGAACTGGATTTTACAAGTTTACTGTATTTTGAAATTTGATGTAAGAAGACATTGTGGAAAAGAAAATTATTGTGAAAAGATGTTACATATGAGGTCTGTACAAAACTATAATCAAACTTTTTGAATTGAGCAAAACTGAAGTGTCCTAATGTTGTGAAGTTGACAACACTACATTTATATAACCTACTGAGCAAGCTGCTTTTTTTTGGATTGTTGATATCTCATTTTGTTCTCATGTTGTTGTTTTTTGAGTGAAAGTTGTTTCAGTGTTCATGGCGATTTTTGCAATGTGTGATTTATGGGAGCAACGATGCAACTTGAAGTTTTGTATAAAACAGGAAAAAACTTTTACAGAAACAACTTTTCATTTTAACTTTTGAATCAAGCTTATGGAGGCTATGTTCTAGGTTTTACACAGTGTTATGAATGGTTTACCTGATTCAAAAGTGGTAATCAACTAGTTGAAGATGACCCTCAACCAGGAAAGCCTTTGACCTCAACTGATGACACTCACATTCAGAAAATCAGAGTTGTGCATTTTAAATTTTTGCCTCAAGGTCAAACTGTCAACCATCAGTACTATACAGGTGTTTTGAAACAGTTGCATGAAAAAATTCGCAAAAAGAGACCCGAGTTTTTGCAAGACAACCCACAGTTCCTTCACTCACCTGACCTGGCTCCTTGAAACTTTTTCTTGTTTCTAAAATTAAAATTAGTGCTGAAAGGATGCCATTTGACACAATTGATGGTATTAAAACAAATTCATTACAAGCATTGAAGGACAGTCTGAAACAAGCTTATCAGGACTGCTTTGCAAAGTAGAAACACCATTGGGATAAGTGTGTGTATAGGGGAGGGGAGTACTTTGAAGGAGACAAGGACCAATAATCTGTAATGTGAAGAATAAAAATTAAAAAAAGTTTGGTTATTTTTTGAACAGACCTTGTAAATTTTCTTTACTAAATAAATACACTATCTCATCTCATGGTGCCATATCAGGTTTTTCCCGACCTCGGCCACACCTGGCGCAGATTAGTAAGTAGTTAGTAAATACCCCAAGGCATTACTAGGGAAAGTTAGTACCCAGAGTGATTTCCCGTTGCCTTCTCTGGGGCGCGATGTTACGCGAGGGGAACTAATGCCTTCCAGGAGGACTTTTATGGGGAACTGGCCTCTTATTTAGTTGTTATTGGCAAGGAGAAAACCTGGAAAACTCCAAGCAGCCAGCCTGTCCATCGCGGTGCGAACCCACGACCGAACTCCCAGTGTTTAGGGTACGAAGATCACTCGGCCACTGGTGGGCAAATACACTAGCTATAAGTTTGCTTAAATATATAAATATTGGGTGTATAAATATGATTCTGTCCTTTTTTTATTAGACTGCTTGCATGCAACTGAATCTGGCAACATTTTATTTCAAAGGTTTGACAATATTCTTTAAAAATAAGTAAGTGACACTGTTTAAAGTGCAAACAATAATTATTTTTACCTCATTAAAAATGTCAAGTTTTGTGCCAAAAATATAGCATTTGTGGGAAGTTTTACTTCATTATTTTATTGCAAAGAAAACTGCATACCGCTTGCTGTTGGAAACTTATGGTGAACATGCTCCATCAAATACAATTTGCAAAGAGTGGTTTCAATGGTTTAAAAATAATGATTTCAATACATATGACAAAGAGCTGAAAAACCACCAAAATTTTTCAAGATGAAGAATTGGAAGCATTACTGGATGAAGATTCTTGCCAAACAGTTGGAATTGGCTGATGCATTAAATGCTACCCAACCATGCATTTCCCAATGTCTATATGCAATGGGAATGGTTCTAAAGCAAGGAAATTTGGTCCCATATTAATTGAAAGATAGGTATGTTGAATATTGAAAAACCATATGTGAATTATTGCTTCAAAAACAAAAGAAAACAGGGTTTTTGTATCAAATTCTTACTGGAGATGAAAAATGGATTAACTTCGACAATCCTATACAACCAAAGACAACCAAAGGCATGGGTGCATCCAAGTGAATCAGGTCTATCAATGCCAAAACAGAATATTCATGGAAGATTGTGTTGTGTATCTGGTGGGACCAGAAGGCATATACTATGAGCTATTGCAACCGAGTCAGACAATCAATGCTGAATATCACAGACAACAGTTAATCAAATTGACAAAGCACTGAAGTAAAAACATTCAGAATATGCCAAAAGACACAACAAAGTTATTTTCCAACATGACAATGCTCGCCCAGATGTTGCAAGACCAGTCAACAAAACTCTAGAAGCACTTTGCTGGGATGTATTGTTCCACCTGCCATATTCATCAGATGTTGCTCCTTCAGATTACCATTTGCTTTGATCTATCCAGAGTGACTTTTCCAGAAAGCAGTTTAGTTCTTATGAGGATATCAAAATTTGGGTTGATGACTGGATTGCTTCAAAACAACCAGACTTCTTCCTTCATGGAATCCATTTGTTGCCTGACAGGTGGATGAATGTTTTAGCTTCTGATGGACAGAGTCATATTTATACATCCAATACTTTTTAGAAAAAATAATATAATAATAATTTAGAATAGTAGCATGAAAAATTTTAAATTTTGACTTAAATGTCAGTAGTGATTCTTTCTAAAAACAACAACAAAAAAAAAATTCAAATATGTCTGGCATTTGAATATTATATAAAGGAGTATGAAAAGATTTGTGTTGTTTGGTATGACATCATCATAAATAAAAGATATTCCATATAAAATTATTTTAAGAATAATAATAAATCTTTGCTTAAAATTTTGGATTTTCTCTTTATTCATTTCTCTTTTAATGTTTTCAGATAAAAAGATTGTTACTTTTATTTTACAAATAATTTTAGCAAATTAACCATGTAACTATTTTTAAATGATATAATCACAGGTTATTCATTTTTTTTTAACATAAGAAATTCATTGGCTAATATTGGGGCCAATTTATCAATTACTCTAGATTTGAGGGCCATATTTCAGGTGGCAGTTTATTGATGAAGCATAAAACAATTGAGATATTATATAATAGATTAAAATATAGGTTTCTGTTACATATTTAGCTCAGCAGTCAGATGGCTTAGGTGGTCAAGGCATCATCCTACCTCTCTGCGAGACTTTGGATCAAATTGAAGCAAGACAGTTCCAGGAATTTTTGAGGGTGGTCTGTCCCAGATAGGTTGGTTCCCATTCCTCACCACTTGACTGTTCTCATTATAGATCTGGATGAACCCATGATAGGAAAGGAAAAGGAAGTTAAAATAAAACTGTTTATCTGCTTGCACTGGGAAGGATAATCAACCCACAAGAACCTTATTATATCCCAGTAATAACAAATTTTAATTAATTAATTAAAACTAACATTTTCGACCATAATCATGGTAAAAAATGTTAGTATAGAATAGAATGTTAGTTAGTATAGAATGTTAGTAGAATAGGTATCGACCATAATCATGGTCGATACCTATTCTACACCATTAAGTGCATCTTATTATTTGTTGTGGTATAAGGATGTTTTCATCATTATTATAGCACATATGACTAAATATCTTCTATCATTTGGAATTTTAAAATAATTTAAAGATATTGTTTGGTGTATTCTATATTTAAATTGTACTGGTCAAAAGCCTGAGGAAGACCATGATTATGGTCAGAAATGTTAGTTTTAATTAAAATTTGTCATTACTGAGATATAATAAGGTTTTCATGGGTTGACTGTCTGACAAAGCTACTCTGGCAAAATATGCCTGTTGTGAGGAATTAGGATTCTATCAAATTCTAACTTAAGTTTTTTTTTTACTGGAAAATTTGATTCACGGTGATGATCATATTTTTCATTTATATCTTTTAACATTAATTTATCTGATGGTCAAGTAGCTGAGGTGGTAAAGAAATCAGCTTTCCCAATCTGAGGGCTTGAATCAAGTCTCTTAATGTACATATGATGGAGTTAAAAACATGTTTTAAAAATATATTTTAATAAAAAGGCCAAGTGAATACCGAAACTTTTAACAACCTGCTATCTTAGACAACTCTTCCTGTAAAATCTTGCAAACTATCTTCTCTAGTGTCCACATCTAACCAATCAGTCAAAGAATCATTAGTTATTTCTGACTCATTCAATATTTCCCAGATACGAGAAATTTCAGCCTCGGTGAAGATATTATTTGAAGTTGAATCTGAAAGTGTTGTGGTTTGATCGAGATCAACTTGATTATTAGATTCATTTAATTTTTTCCAATAGTTTCTAATTGTCTCTGATGTGATTGCCTGCCAGGCAAGTCCAATACTGTAGGACACGTCTTTGAGATCCATTTTTTTTTTTTTTTTAAATATGTTGACGTCAATGTTTGATGCTAATAATGACTTCATCATTTCTCTTTGGTAATTTGTTTTGAAGGTACTAATAATGCCTTGATCTAAGGGTTGTATAAGAGCAGTAGTATTATTTGGAAGATACATTACTTTTATTTTACCATTGTCAGACACAAGGTTATCAGCTGGTGGATGAGCTGGGCAATTATCTAAGAGAAGCAAATCTTTTGGATCTATACTCAATCCTCTCAGCAATTTTTGCACAGAGGGAACAAAGGAATTGTGAAACCAGTCACGAAATATGTTAGAAGTCATCAAAGCATTTATGTTGTTTTTATGAACAACTGGCAGAAATTTTATATTGTTTGACTTGAAACATCGTGGGTTTTGACTTTTACCTATAATGAGTGGCGTCAACTTGTGATTTACACAAAATAAAGCTGTTATACTTTCCTTGCTTAATTTTAATCCTGTCTTTTGTGGGTTACTTTTCAGATCTAAGGTTTTACTTGGCAACATTCTGTAATATAATGCAGTCTCATCAGTTATAAACTTGTGCATCAGTATACCCTTCTTTCTTAATGGAAATTGTGAATTGTTTGGAAAATTCTGCAGTGCCTTCAATATCACTAGACTTTGCTTCACCAGAAATGGAAATTTGGAAGATGCCATGTCGTTTTTGCCAATGCCACAACCAACCATCAGAAGCCTTAAAATCTCCTTCTGCTTTTAAGCTTACATGGAATTTTTCAGCCTGCAACTTTAAAGCAGTTTCAGATACAGGTATACCTTCACTTCTTTTTTGCACAAACCATGCATAGAGGCAATTGTGAACATTTTAATTTTTTCCAAGTCTTGTCTTTTTTTGAGTAAGCCCAGCATCTTGGTCAAGCTTATCAACAAATGATTTCAGTTTTGTCTCCTCTGCCATCCAACCCCTTACAGTTCCTTCAGGTATGCCATATTCTCTTCTTATGTTTGCTTTCGAAACTCCTCTCTTTACTTTAGCAATAATGTCAAGCTTTTCTTTCACATTGTAAGCTTTTCTTTTACTCATCAATCATACAATAATTAAACAGTATTCAAAATACATGCAGGAACTTAATACATACACAATTACTCAATATGCAATAACAATAAAATGCACTACTCACTAATGCCACCAGGGCCGTGCGGTAGATTTTCTCAGTATGATGCAAGTCTTCGAAATGCCGCTTATGCCACCCCTTAAATGCTGCTTATGCCGCCCTGTTATGGTGCCGCCTGATGCGGCCGCATCTCTGCATCATAGCATGGCACAGCCCTGAATGCCATACAGACCTGTATAAATGTGTTTGAGCTTATTGCATTGTGAACATCGCCTGCACTATAACCAGTTGCGCGATATAGCGAGCAGTGCTATAACAAAAGTCCACTGTATTTACATATCTTTCATAGAACACAATTATACAAAGCATAAAAATTGTTTTACCAACAGATAATATTTAAAAGTGTATTTTTAAAACTTTTGTTAACATAGCCTGTTACATAACATGTTTTGTAAATATCTCTATTTACAAAACATTTTATAATTAAAATACTTGCATTCTACAATAATTGTAATTATAAGTAATTATTTCATATTTGATAAATATGAAATTCTAAAGAATTTTTAATGTTCTTTAGTTTTAATGAACTTCATATTATTTGCAGAAACTTTCTGTCAGTAATGAACTTATGGAAGGAATTTATTGTTACAATGTTTATAAAATGAATATATCTGTATTCTTAAAGTTTAAAGGAATAAATTGTTTACCTTAATATTAGCTTGAGATTTTTTCTGTTCAACTTTTATATTATCATCTACATGTTGCTCTATCCAGTTTTTTGATAATTGATCAGTATTGCTTTCTTCTTCAGAATTTGCATTTTCAAATGACAGAGAAACATTTTTACTCATAAAATTGTCTTCTTTCAAACTGTCATGACTTCTTACTCTGTTCTTAGATAATCTTTCAGATTCAGTAGAAATATTTACTTTTTCTCTACAAAGAACTTCACTATCTGTGCTTTTTACAAGCAATGTTAACATTTTTTTTTTAATATCATCTGATACCCAACTTGTTGTTTCTTCCAAAACAAATAATTTTCTCAAGGTTTTATATAAATCTTTCCAAAGTTTCTTTCGAATTTTAGCATTTGACTTGTTATCAAATGTATGATATACGTTATGTTTATTATTCTTAGAAGTTTCTTTATTGGAGTCATCAACAGCAAATGGTATTTCTGAGAAATTTTCAAATGATTGCCTTATAGTTTTGACTTTGTGATCTTTTTTCTTATGCTTCATTAGACAATCAAATGAGGGTATGTGACTTTCTACACTATTTGTGTCCACAGTTTGAATATCGAAATTCTTTAAGTCTAAATACTCTATATGTGGTAACTTTCTATTTGGAGAATTGTTTTTGGATTTACTTTCATCTTTAACTTTCAAATTATTCTGAAAATAAAATTTAAAAATATATAATTAATTTATAATAAAGAGTAAGAATTAATATAATAACATATAATCAATATTTGCATTTTCAGACCTGCTTATAAATTGAATATTTCTCGTGAGATGAAATAGCATTCTTTCTTAAATCTCTAACAAAATTAGCATTCTCGTTTGATTTGTTTATATGATTAATTTTAAAACAAGAAGTATTCAAAGAACAATTTGTTTTGTCTTGAATAGATGACTGTGACCTTGTCCTTCTCATCATTTCAGGTTTAATAGTCCACGTCTTTCGAACTGGAATACATTCAAAACTGTTGGATACATTATCTACGTTCATCTGTTTAAAATATAAGATTTTTTAGTAAGCTCTTTAAATCATTCAATTTTTTATATCATCTTATTCTGAATATCTATTTTATATTAGATAGTGTTTTATATAGTTTGTTAATCTTTAAGAGTAAAAATGAAAAAGAAAATAATTTAAGAAGAACTAAACATGATATTATACAAATTATTCAAGAATAGACATTTGACTTTTAGAGAAAAAGACACGATGCTTAATAAATATCATGAAATTGCTCTATTGTTGTTATTATTATTATGACTGTTACTTCTGATTATATTATTCATTTTAGGTTATCTGGTATAAATAAATCAGGTGACAAAAAAATCAATTGGAACTAAAATGTCAAAACAACAAAAGTAAATATATTTATCTTTAGTGACATATGAGTCCTGAAAATTTCATATCACTAGTTATATGAAAAATTGTTAGTTAGTGTTTATGAAACAATGCACCGATTATCATTGAAACATGAAAATTTATCTGATTAAGTGTTAATTTAAATAGAAAAAATTGAATTGTGCAATTATTATTGTAATGTTAGTATCATTTATCTAATTCTTAAATATTGTAACATTAGAAAAGTTATTAGTGGTTCTATTTCAGTAAGAAAGGCCCATCTAGGAATATTTATACTTTACATTTATTTTTTGATGTTATTTGTATTATTATTTTTCGATTACTTACAGTATGTAAATCTTATTCACTAAATTCTTACTAATTAACAAGTACAATTTTGAGATTAAGTTTGATGTACCTATTAATATGGAATCACTAATATTATTCTTGAGAATTGAGAATATTTATAAATTATTTGGTACATACCGATTCCTGAGAACTTGTCCTCATAGATCTACTGCAACAAAATTTCTTCAGAAAATATGTAAATTTGTAACTATTATGTTTTATTTTCTATATAAATTAGAAAAAATATTAATCAATTCATTTTTTAAAACTAAATTTTGTTTATACATACATATTTTTATAAAATTGACTATTAAGTTTTATTCTGATGATACACTACGTTAAAAGTGTTATAAAATTCATGAACTAAATTTTCTTTGTAAATCAGGCCTGGCCAGTCCTTGGCCTGCCAGAGGTTTTACTCACACTACATTTCAATCTTTCAGTTTTAGTAGATTCTACTAAATCTGATAGATTAAGATGTCAATCAAATGTGAAGTTAATAAAATTTCTGGCATAATTGTATTGACCTCACTTCAGTTTTGTAGTAGAATATGGCTCTTGTTTAGGTGAAGAAAATGGGAAAACTATAAGGATAGCCCATTCGTTAAGCTCTATTCCATGATTTTGTTTAGTGGCTTAATCCATTCAGTCACTGGTAGGCAAAAAAGGATTTGAAATCAGTGCCAAAAATACTATACATAGCATCCTATTATAGCAGTTTAACAGAAGAAAAGCAAAATTTTGTCAATTACTGTTACATAAAAAAACTATAATACAGACATTAAGAAAAATGTTTTAAAGCCTACAAATAGGCCCATTCTATATATGAAGTTGTAAAAAAAGAACTTTTAGCTAGTATTTAGCTGTAAAAACTATTTCGGTTTTTGTTTCAACATCTACCTGTAAGAATATTATATATATATAAAATACATATATACATATAATATATATATAAATAAATATATNAAGCAATAAAATTTTGTTTTTATTTGGGGAAACAAAATAAATTTATGTACTGGGAAAAAACTTGTGTACTTTTCATTACTTCATGCTAGAACACTAGATTATGCAAGCATGACATTCTACCATTTTGAATCTTAGCATTCAGTTAACTGATTATTGATAAAGTTTTTTGCATAAAATATTTCATTAATCATAAGGATTGGTAGAGGTAAGCTATCGAGTGAGTGAACAAACAGCTTAGGAAAGTGAACTTTACTATACTAGAACAAGAACACTTTGACTATGCATTCACATTTTATTTAAAAACTAAAGATCATCTGGATCTAAAACAAAAAGTATCTTTACAGGTGAAAATAAAGTTACTTTTTGTTTTATTTTTGACTAAGACTTCTTCCCTTTGCTAATTTGAAACCACACCAGTATAATAAGTTCTATTTATAAACAAGGTTTACATGAACAATTTAAAGACAAAATTAAAAATATCAAATATCTTTAGAATTTAAATAAGCTGGTTTTTAAATTTTTATTTATCTTTCATTTTTTACTGATTGGAAGGAGAAGTAGATATTCACTAAAATGCTAATTGTTGCAAATTTACGACATCAGTATACCCATCAAAAAAGTTGTATCCATCTAACTCTTTACAGCAGGGATGTCAAAGATACGGCCTGCGAGCCATGACTGGCTCTCGAGGCAATTAGTTGTGGCCCCCAACATTAATTCAATAATACTATTTGTTTATTTTTTATGATGTTGATACTAAAGAAAATGTGATATTTTGTAATTAATTTAATTACAATTATTAAATTTAGCAATAATTTAGCCTAATGCTTGCCTCTAATGCCAGATTTCTTAGCATTTTTATGATCCATATAAAGGCAGGTTTAACATTTTGTCACCTCAGGCTATAACTTCCTTGCCTTCCTCTTAGGTAGTAATATAGCTTAATAAAGTTTTTAAACTTAAATTTATATATGATAACTATAAGAAATAAACTTCTTAGCGAATACTGGAGGAAGTATAATTCATCACACAAAACCTTTTGAAACTCCAGTAATACGTGTTTACGAAACGGCGAACGTATTTCACTGTTTTGTTTCTCACGTATTTGAATTCCTCATAACTGTAGCCTGAGAAAGACCTTGATAGGGCCGAAAACATTTGCTGTTTTGTAAACACATTACTGGAGTTTCAAAAGGTTTTGTATGATGAATGATAACTATAAGAATTTTTAAGAGAAAAATAATTTGATATTGTTAAATAAATTGCTGCCTTAGTTCATCTACTCAACTTTTGGGAAATTCTATCAATAATCCATAAAAGAATACTCTGCTGAAACTTTGTAAAATTCATATATGACTAAATATAAATTTTTACCTCCATAGAAGTTTATTTTATCAAACACCATCTGTGTGTTTTCTAGAAATCCTTTATTTCTTAATGTAGTCTAATGCGTGTTAACCACTTTATTCTTTTACAAATGCAAAATTCATCTTGGGTCTATTTACTTTCCTGTCTGTTATATGTAACACAGGAAAAGTATGACAATTGGTCAAAAAAAATGACACCCAAAATGTGTACATTTTTTGACTCAGGAACTTGAAATGTCAAGAAATGGAAAAAAAAAAAAAAAAATTCAGGGAGTTTTCTATATTTATGGATGTTAGTATGTGTGGGGAGGGCATGATTTTGTTTACCCAGTTTGAAGCTTAATAACTTCTGAGCCTTTTGTTGAAAATTTCTGAAATTTTTGCAAAAAGATTTGGGTATTAGGGAATTGATGTTATTAAATTTTAATGGTTAAAGGTTGATGGAGAGGAGAGATAAAGGAGGATTGTGTGTCATATTGCAAGTCACGTTGAACTTAATGACTATTTTACTCATTATTAGCATTTGCAATTTTTTATAAAATCCATCCCTTTCTTCAAAATTAAGCTTTTTGTCATTTTATAATAATTAAAAATATATATTTAAAAAAATTTTTAACAGATGGTGCCATCAAAATTTTAAATGTTGCCGGGAAAGTTAAGCAACTGTTGCTGGATGTTTTAGTAAGCATCTCATTAGTTCTATAGGTAGAGTTAATTTAAATTCTAAATATAAACCACATGTTTATATTTAAACCTGTAAAATTTATTGAAATGGAGTTGTATAAAATAAACATTTATAGAAGTAAAGTGGAAAGAAAATCACAGCCCTTAAAAAAAGATTGTTTACCTTTTTACTACTTGTGTCCATATTCAAATTTGTAAATATTTTGTTGAAAGAATTTGCATTCTTCAATGCAGATTTTGTAGATTTTAAATTCTAAACAATTATCATAATTGAAATACTGTAAAAGTATTATTTAAGTTTTAACAAAGAAGTAATAATGAATTTATCAAAACAATAAAAGTAAATTCAACAATAAAATAAGTGAAAATATTTAGCATTTAATGTTACCAATTGATTTAAAAAAATTCAATAAAATAATCTTTATTGTAAAATAATCATAGCACCTGGTGTTGCTTGGTTTTTGTAAAAATAAAATTTGAGTTAAGCAATAAAATTTTGTTTTTATTTGGGGAAACAAAATAAATTTATGTACTGGGAAAAAACTTGTGTACTTTTCATTACTTCATGCTAGAACACTAGATTATGCAAGCATGACATTCTACCATTTTGAATCTTAGCATTCAGTTAACTGATTATTGATAAAGTTTTTTGCATAAAATATTTCATTAATCATAAGGATTGGTAGAGGTAAGCTATCGAGTGAGTGAACAAACAGCTTAGGAAAGTGAACTTTACTATACTAGAACAAGAACACTTTGACTATGCATTCACATTTTATTTAAAAACTAAAGATCATCTGGATCTAAAACAAAAAGTATCTTTACAGGTGAAAATAAAGTTACTTTTTGTTTTATTTTTGACTAAGACTTCTTCCCTTTGCTAATTTGAAACCACACCAGTATAATAAGTTCTATTTATAAACAAGGTTTACATGAACAATTTAAAGACAAAATTAAAAATATCAAATATCTTTAGAATTTAAATAAGCTGGTTTTTAAATTTTTATTTATCTTTCATTTTTTACTGATTGGAAGGAGAAGTAGATATTCACTAAAATGCTAATTGTTGCAAATTTACGACATCAGTATACCCATCAAAAAAGTTGTATCCATCTAACTCTTTACAGCAGGGATGTCAAAGATACGGCCTGCGAGCCATGACTGGCTCTCGAGGCAATTAGTTGTGGCCCCCAACATTAATTCAATAATACTATTTGTTTATTTTTTATGATGTTGATACTAAAGAAAATGTGATATTTTGTATTTAAACAAATAATACTTAATTAAATTAATAAACAAAATTGTTAAACTCAATTATTATTATTATATTTATTTATTTATTTATATTACTTAGAGATATTAATATTTGATTTATTTTTGTGTTTAATTTCTTGTTTACATTATGTTTTCTCTATTTCATCTTTTAAACTTCAAAGTCTGTCTAAACAAGATTATTTATTTTTGCTGGAAAAGTATGAATGTTGTTTTTTTATTTTGTTGTCAAATCTTGGGTTATTAAAAATAAATTTTTTGATTCGGATACTTTTGGGCTACTTTTTAGAAAATTTTTGTCCACAAAAGCTAAAATCATCTGGCAACGTTGTTTAGTATTCAAGACACTTCCTGAGGCAAGAAAAACTGGCATCTTTGAAAACTAAACTTATGGAGCAGCAATCATTTTTTAAAATATCAAAAACTGATAGTGAGAATGCATTGAAAACTAGTTATTCAATTGCACTAAAGATTGCAATGAAATCAAAAGCTTTTAGTACGGCAAATTTTTAAAAGAATGTATGCCAGACGTGGCTGACATTTCATTCTCATCACAGAAACAAGTCATTCAAGAAATACCCCTGACTAGAAATACAATTGCTTCCAGAGTAAATGAATTGGCAGATGATTTGGACTTTCAACTTAAACATAAAATTAAAGATTTTATCTGGTATTCCTTAGCAGCTGATGAAAGTACAGATATCAGAGATACATCGCAGCTTGCTGTATTTATTCGTGGAATTAGCCTAGTGAAGATATTAACATCACAGAAGAGTTGTTGCAGTGCATATCATTGAAAAGTATTACCACAACTGAAGATATTTACTCAGCAATTGAGCAATTAGTACCAAATTATGACTTGGATTGGAGTAAATTTAGCAGTATTACCACAGATGGGTTACCATCCGAGGTCGGTAAAAATGCTGGTATTTTCACAAAAATATGGAACAAAATTTTAAATGAAATTAAAGGTGAACGATCCAAATTCGTTGGAATTCACTGTATTGTACGTCAAGAAGTCTTGGCCTCTAAAGTGCTGAAAATGGATCATGTAATGAATCCCATAATTAAAACAGTTAATTTTATTAAAAGTAGAGGACTAAATCACCACCAATACACACAATTTTTAAACGATCTTGATGAAAAATGTTCAGATATTCCCTGCTTTGCAGAAGTATGGTGGTTTAGTCGTGGAACAATGCTTAAACGATTTTTCGAATTGCGTAAACATGTTGTTACGTTTATGACTCAAAAGGGCAAACACATGGAACACAGTGATGAATGGTGGCTTGACTTTGCATTCTTAGTAGATATGACAGAACACTTGAATAATTTGAACATTAAACTTCAAGGAAAAAATGTAATCGTTATGCAACTGTACTCAAGTGTTCAAGTTTTCAAAATAAATTTAAAGTTGTGGGAATCACAGCTGCGAGAACAAAAACTTGACCATTTTCCTAGCATTTGTGAAATCGGCATGTGCAATGCAGATAAATTAGCAGATTTTTCTTACTGTTTGCTTGATCTTATTGCTGAATTTGATAGTCATTTTGCAGATTTTCGTGAGTTCAATAGCTACGACTTTCTTCGTTTTAATGATCTGTTTACGTTCGTTCGATGTTGGTAAAGCACTGACTTACTTGCAAAAGGAACTAATAGATTTTCAGTGTGATACTGCTTTAAAAAGCAAGTTCAATGAAGTTAACATTTTGGCATTACAGTATATACAAAGTACTTCAAAAATCAAAATAGCTATTCCAACTTAAGGAACCATGCTGCCCACATTTTATGCATGTTTGGAAGTTCATGTGTGTGTGAACAGTTATTTTCAACAATGAAGTTTAATAAATCTAAATACTGTTCAAGACTTACAGATGAACATCTTCAGTTCATTTTGATATTCAATACAACATCGTTGACACCAAACATCGAGGAGATAATGAAGTGTAGAAGAAGTCAAGTTTCTGGAACCTCAAAATAATATTTTGGTTTAATATGTCTCTAAAAAATTATAATTTCTTTTCTTTAATAAAATCATTTTTTATATACTTCTTATTTATACTTAGTATTACATTTTAGTATTACATTTTATTTTTAATCTGGCCCACTGTCATACTTGAGACAAAAAATTGGCACTTAAGTTGACACCCCTGCTTTAGAGCTTCTATAAACATTGCAGCTTACCAGCTTAAAGACCTATACTAGTTTTTTTATACATTGATTCAAATATTTTTTTTTATTTTTATAATATATCTGTAAAATTGTGAGTTTATCTGGGTAAGTTTAACTTCCAAGACAAACTCACTTATCAGCCAGTGATACTCAGGCATACACTTAGATGCATGCAACTGTTGTGAGGGTGGTATACTGATGCTGCAAATTTTGCAACAATCAACATTTTAGTGAACATAATCTCTGTGTAGTCAGCCGGCAGTAAAAATATGAAAGGTAAATGAAGTTTTAAAAAAAAGCTTATTCAAAATTCTAAAAAATATTTAATATTTCCACAACAGAACTGATGCACTCTTACAACACACTAGCATATTGCAGCTTATGGATTGGAAAAGCAGTGGTATATATCAATACTGTGGAGGACTTTGGATTTAACTATATGTAGATTTATTATCGAACTAATACAGGATGTGCCAACCTTGACAACTCATTAACCAAAAAGTCAAGGTCATTACACATGTTTATGTATTGCATACAACAAGCATTATCTAGTGGGCCTATTTTACAATATTTAAATAATACATCAAACTTGGTTGGTTGTTTGAATATTATTACTTTGAAGTAATTTATGATGTCAACAGAATAAAACATTGTTATGAAAGCTGTTTATTCTTATTTATGTAATAAATTTTTTGAATGATGGAGTGGAAGAAGAGACTTGCTAGATTATCAAAATATACTATTTGATTTATATTTATAGGAAATTATCAGATCATTAGATTTATCTTCTGCATATCACAGATAAAACAATTGTTTAAGGTATAGTTGTAGATATAGTTGATATCAAAAGTAATGTCAGCAAAAAGATTTTTTATTCATTTTGTTATGTTTCATTGTAAATTTTGCATTGTATTAAAATAGATATAATTTTGAACATTGTAAACAATTATATTTATTATTTCTAATTTATCTTTAACCTCTTAAAATGCAGAAACACATGGAACTTGAGATAACTTGAAAAGCCAGATTTAAAGAACAGTTATTTTTGTATTTGCAGCTGACTTGAATAAATTTTGTAACTTGTGATAAGCAGATATATTGTGCATATTTACACATGCTGTATTAATATATATGAATGAAATATATATAAGTACCTGTAATATATATGAATTCAACAATTGGTTTCAATCATTGTGTGATACAAAATAAGGTAAAATTACACCTGTGCACTTGAAGTAAAAATAAATGTGTGTGGCCTCATACATGTATTTTACACAGTTATGTTTTTACAGATAAAATATAAACTGCCTTTCTTTTCTCTTTTTTTGACAGTTTTTGTCAAGTAAAGCATGTGTTATGGCATGTCTTGCTTTTCTCAAGCATTGTGTTATCACACATTTCTGAAGAAAAGCTTGCATTAAGTTGTTAATTTAAATTGTTAATGAAAATTAAACTCTGTAAGGATACAATTACTTACAAGTTAGTGTCAAAACTGAAATTTGTTACAAAATGTATCAACACTTCTTAAACTTCTAGAAATAAACAAGTTGCACACTAACCTGATGATGGTCATTTAAAATGACCATCAGGTGAACTGAACACAAATTAGAACATCAAATTATAGAATTTTTGTTCCTTCTTTTGAATTTTGTAAATTATGTATTTTTTCTTATATGTTCCATCTGTGATGATTTGTGTTTTCTGGACAACTGTCCTTTAGTAATATCTTCATCCTTGCATCCATGCCCTTCATAGGATCTTTCTTCAACTTTTCAGTTTGTCTTATGTAACTCTTAAGCTCTAACATAATCTCTTAATTTTCAATTTGCCCAGAGATTGTA